AAACAACCCATAGTCATAAAATGTTTACAAAATCATTATTTCCAAATTGTTTATCCATATCAGAGTATCCCAAAATCATAAAGCCATAAACAGATGATGTGTACGGTCACGCCTTTGTCTTCCCGCGATCATCAAAAGTACCTGAAACAACAAACTAAAACTGTAAGCCAAAGCTTAGTGAGTTTCCCCAAACTACTAACACACAAACAAATAACATATACAACATGTCGGGTCCAATCAAGCATTGGGTTGGAATACCCCAGGACCAGTCAACCTCCGAGTCCAGTCATCCTCGAGATGGAATACCTCAGGTTGGAATGCCAATATACAACGGGTCCAGTCATCCTTGGGATGGAATACCCTCGGGCCTAATGAACCATCGAGTTGGAATGCCCCGGTCTGTTGGCTCACGCACAAAGAAGTAAAGCCTCAACCACAACTCAAAATACGTCGACATATACATAAACGATAAACATATAATCAGCCAACAGACAAACAGGTAGATCTATAGATCACTACCGCATAGCAACACCCTAGACACTAGGATATAGATCTAACAGATCACTACAGCATAGCAACATATGGTAAACCAGGATATCAATCCAATGGGTCGGCCTTGGTGCCTTCGACCCGTAAGTACAGTGAGGAAGACTCACCTCACAGTATGAACAGTAGCTGATAATGTCTTGACTCCGAATCTCAGCTCTAACCGTCACCTGTCCAACCAAACGACATATTCTTAACCATAATCCAAAATACCCTTAAGTCAAACTTGGTCAAAGTCAAAGTTAAACTGGTCAAAACCAATAAGTCAACTGAGTCAACCCAGCCGAGTCAACTCAGCCGAGTCGACACAGAATGTGTACGCCGGGCGTACTCCAAAGGTACGCGGGGCATACCCAAACCTTGACCGCAGAGGGGAGAGTTCACCTCGTACGCGCTATGTACTCAAGTTATGCAGGTTGTACGCCCGAACTTCTCAAAACTTCATTAACGGATTAATGCCTTAAGCTCTTACGGCCAACTTTCAGATCCAAGGCTAAATCATCCTCAAGAGTCATAAATTTTCCAAATTTATGACTTTGCATGTCCATTAAATGCTTAACTCAACATCTTAATACCTTAAGACCTTCTAAAGAATGCATGGAGCAAAACCAACCATTAAGACCCCATTTTTATGACTCAAGACCCTTCCTAAGGTCTGAAAGGATGACTTAATGGGTCAAGAACATGTCATGCTCAAGAATCACCATTTTGGGGCCAATAAGTGTCTTAAAAGAACAAAAATCTAGATCTATAAGATGGAGTGGTAAAATTGCAATCTTTATACCTCATGGAGCTTGCAATCAAGGTAGAAATCACGGATCCAAGGTGCTTCCCAACTCCAAGCTCTTCACCTTCAATAACTCCTCTAACCATTCCAATGGGATCCAAAAAGGCACTCTTTCACTCAGGGTTTGCTTGGGGATCGTTCTCATAGAGGGTGGCTGAAGAAGGAAGGGGACGTGAGGTTATAATGATGTTTATATAGAGCCAAAACCCTATAAATTAGGGTTTGCATGATCTTCCCGTACGCCCTGCGTACGAGGTGTACGCCCTGCCTACGAGGTGTACGCCCAGCGTACTAAGGCGCTCCCTAGTACACTTAGAGTACACACGTACACTCAGTGTACTCCCCAAAGTCCGAATTTATCAAATTGACACTATGGACCCCTTTTGCACTCTTTCTTTTACTTAGGGACGAAAATGCAATATAATTCAATTATAGGGTCAGAATTAGAAGTACCTCATCATTGGGATGTTACACCTGTTCCAAGCACTCGATTTACACATATATCTCTTGATTTCCATTTTGTAAGAGAAAAATTTGACAGTGGTGATCTTCGAGTCTGCCAAGATTCTTCAGCTGACCAACTTGCCGATATTTTCACTAAGCTTCTAGACAAAGAACATATTGCTACACTTTCTTCCAAGCTTCAAGTTCGTTCCCCACTTGAGCTTGCTAGGGGGGTAAAAATGAGTATTCATTAGTCAATATGTGTAACATTCCGTTTTTAAAAAAAAATAAATATATAAATAAATAATAACCCCTAGAACCCTGAGACGTATTTTTATGTATTGCATTTTAGCCCTAAGTCATACTAATTAACAGGGTGTATACAATTGGGGTGTTAAAGGCTATATTATTGAGGGTTAAATGGTAACTGTCGGACTTATATTGTAATGAATTATTAAAGATGGGGATTGTTTGGTAAGTATTGGACTTAATATGAATAAAAAAATTAGGGGCCAAACATGGAAAATGGAACATAAGTTTGGATGAAGGCACGAGATTGAACCCGACGCTTCTTCCTTCTCTTTTGCTGGAACAACCCTAAACCTAGAGGTGCTTTTCAACAGCCGCCACCACAATGTGATCCCTCTCAGCCGCCGCCATAGTTTCGTGTCCGTCCGTCGCCTGCTGCCTCGCCGTTGAGCACCACCGCAACAGCCTTGTTGTCGGAGACGTAAGAGAAGCCGAAAGAGCCACCGAGACCAACGAAGGAAGCTGTGAACGCCGCTGCTTGAGTCATGAACGACCGGAAGGCTCTCGGTAAGAATACTCGCCACCCACCTTCCCTCTTCTTCATTCGTTTCTATTGGTAGAACATTGTGCGCATTGCTGCCGCCGGTTGCTTTGGCCACTGTTTTCATATTTTTCCGGTGATGTCAGTCGCATGGGAAGTGGCTGAGTGCGTATGTGTTATCTTTTATAAATAGGTTGCGAAGTTTGCGGTGTAGTGTGTGTGTTATTTGGCCAGAAAACCACTGCCACCACCATGAGGTGGTGGCTGCCACCGTTTACGGCAGCCTGCCACCGCGTGGGTGGTTGTGTGTATCAATAGGTGTGTGTGAGTTTGTTTACTCCTTGTTGAGATGTTGATTGGGTGTTTTGGGCGGGAGAAAAATCTAAGGAAAATCCCCACCACCACCGTGAGGTGGTGGTTGCCACCGTCGACCACCACTGCTCGAGTTGGCAGTGGGTGGTGATCGACATAGTGAAACCCTAATTGGCCCAATAGCTTAATCTTGGACTTAGTTGGCTTGTGATTGGGTTGGAAACCCTAATTAGGGTTTAGAAAACCCTACTTTTGGAAATGTTAGTTTGGGATTTGCCGGGACCTGCGTTTGGACTGTTAGATTGGAATTTTGAATTATGTCTGACTACATTGTATGAATGACCTAGTGGAGTGATGGACTTAATGGATTAAGTCCTTAATGGTTTAAGTAAGAACACTTAACCCTAATTGTCATTTCATGTGAAAACCCTAATTATGTTTGGGATTCAGTTTGGGCCTTTCTTTTGGGCTTAGGTGTTTGGATTCATGTTGGGCCATCTGAGAACAAGTGTATGGACTGGATTATTTGGATGGGCTTTAGGGTAAGGATCATGCAAGGGGTTTGGGCCCAATTTGGAAAATTGGGCCATAGTTGGGTCTTGCTTGATTATTTGACTTTTGGGCCTTCAGAGTGTGAGTGTAGGCCTTGGTCTTGGACCAAGTTAGGTTATGGGTAAAATGGTCTTTTTACCCCAAATATGGACTTATGGTTATGTATTGGAACCCGATTATTAATTGGGTGTTGTTTTGATGTTGACAGTTCGGGAATCTGTCATCCAGCAGCTAGAGTTTTATCCGCGGGACTTCAGCAGAACAAGGTGAGTCTCCTCACTGTGTTTAACGGTCGAAGGCACCAATGCTGGCCCATGGTTATTATGTTAGGATGTTAGTTGTCTGCGTGACCTTGGCATGTGTACGTATTGATATGTATGTTGGGCGGGGCTCGATGATTATTTTATATGCTAGTATCAGGTTATGCATATATGACTTGTATGTGGGTGGGGCCCGTTGATTGTGTTGTATGCTATTATCTTTGTGATTTTCGCATGTGTTGGAATGTTTATATGATTACATGTATGTGAATGTGGGCGGGGCCTGTATCTCATCATTATTCGAGTGTGGGAGGGGCTCGTATCTCATCATTAGCTGAGTGTGGGCGGGGCCCGTATCTCATCATTACTTGTGTGTGGTTATTGGTATGTTTGTAAGGTTGTGTAATTGTTGTCTGTATGATACTTGTATGTATTTGTTTATGTATGTGAGTGTGGGCAGGGCCCATATCTCATTATTATTTGAGTGTGGGCGGGGCCCGTATCTCATGATTAGCTGAGTGTGGGCGGGGCCCGTATCTCACAGAGTGTGGGCGGGGCCAGTATCTCTTAGTTAGCTGAGTGTGGGCGGGTCCCGTATCTCACAGAGTGTGGGTGGGGCTCGTATCTCTTAGTTAGCTGAGTGTGGGCGGGGCCCGTTATCCGAGTATGGACGGGGCCCGTATCTCCTAGTTGCATGTTATGTGTATGGTATGTGGTAGTTTGGGGGAAACTTAGTAAGCTTCGTGATTACAGTTTTCACTTTTGGTTTCAGGTACTTCGGTTTTCAAAAGGAAGAGCTCGGGATGATTGCAGGGCACACACCATATGTTTCCGCCTTGGATGCTTTACTCTGATTTTACAGAAATTAATACAAAGATTTTTATGTATATGTTTGAATGTCATTGATAAAATTCTGTTTTATCTATTATTAAAAATGAAATTTTTGGGACCATATTTATGGATGTTACAATATGACTTAGTCATTAAGTCCTATTCTTTAGGATCTATTATTCACATGTATATAGTTTCGTAATTGTATGGAAGTAGGTTAGGCAGCTGTGATTAATTGTGTATATCTTCTGTATATATACACATGTATCTCTCGTTCATTGAATACACAACAAACTTCAATTCATAAGCTTTACTTATAAATATGGATGAGAACTTTGCTTGTAGCTGGTCAATTCGAAAACATATGGGCACATTTTCATCAGACCATTTCCAGTTGGAGAAACATTGAAGACAAAGGATATAATAGAAGAAACTCTTGAGCAACAAAACAATATTTTATTATTAATCACAATAATAACACTATTAACATTAGACTACAACATATATATAGCCTAAAATGGTTGCTTCTTAACCATTTAAGAGAACCCGTGCAACTCTTGGAGTATAACCACATGCAACTTGTAACTGTCATCAATAACTACCATCTTGTAATTGCCATTAACAAGAAGTACCGTCACTCTCTATCAAGGCTAGCTTATATCTTCAACATTTTCGAGGGTCTATTGTACAACTCTGTTTCATCCTTTATCAATAAAGAATATTGATCACTACAATTTGATTGTGTATGAATTTTATTTATGTGATGAGAAATGTATGGGTGTCAAAAAGTATACCTCATGTACGCCACCAACTATGTTAGACTTCTTTACAGAAAAAACTCTGAAACGCACTTGGTTTTCTGATGAAAACAGATAAAAAGTAATAGGTTCATTATCATTCACGTACATCTACTTGGACCAAGTAATTGTAGCTAAGCTTCTCAATGAGTGGTGTTTTGATCAATTGATCCAACAAATCGACTCATTTAGGCACAAATTAATATTGGGTTGATCAATTTAAAATTAAAAGTTCATTCTATTTATAAAAATAGCCTTACTTTAGAGGTCAATAAAATAGTAAATCATGATCCATCTATTTAAGATAAACAAGTCATGATCCACTCTTTTTCAAGTGGTAAGGTCATAAAGGTATATAGTTATAGCATATATAAACTTAAGGAGACAAGTATTTTTCTTTCACATAATCCCTGATTAATATTACTTGTGTGATAATATGTAATAAAAGTGATATTATACCTTTATAATAGGGTTTGTCTCCAATGTATGGAAGATAGTATGGAAATACTACACGGCCAGATGACAAAAACCGAGTGCTATTCAGGATGTATTCGCCTGTTGTTGTTTGAAATCCTAAAAGGTCTCCACCAATGATATGATTCCAAGACTTGTAATAGCCCAATGCATCTTCTTCATCTGTGTTTCCATCATCATACATAAAACCAACTCCAACCTCTTCTGTAAGTCCAAGGTTCTGTGTTGTAGCAATAGTAACTTCGTCACCACCTTCCATCTCATTCATCCCAAACATCCAATGGCTTAACAATATTGCACAATCCCCAGCTACACGGACTCTGTAAATATAATGATGGTATATCCAGGTGTGTTTTTTGGTTATATTACTAATTATGATCATTGGCAAATCAAGGACCTGAACATGCTCTACAATTCCAAGCCTCTCATTCAGAAATGGAGATGTCAGCACATAGCAAAAATTCAGTCCTCTGAACTGTTTAGGAGATGATGGGATGGTAAATGATATTGATGGCCCCTTGCTTCTATCCGTAATCCAATCCGGAATCTCTTTGCCAACGTAAATTGTACTGAATATTCCAAATTCATAATACATCTGCCAAATACAACCACCATATTTAAATAACCATATCATGATTATATACGTAGATATTCACACAATCACACAAAATTAAGACAGATAATTAACTAGAGCAAACCTGTGTTTTAGATTCCTCTCTTCCTTTAGATACAGGCTCTGCTACCAGACGTCTTTCATTTAGGAAGTCGAGCTCAGTCCAGCCCAAACTAAGTAATATTTTTTTCTCAATGCTTGCCAGTGGTTGGATTTTGATCAATCCTTCAAATTCAAATGAAGAAGCTGCTAACACCGTCCAGTCTATTGAGAACTTCAATGGGGACGACACATTTGGATCAAATAAAATTTTACGTAGCATAGCCTTTTTTGAACCAAAAAATAGGTCCAGATATGTTAGTGTACGTGGAGGACACTCAACTGATGTCAACTTTTTACAGTTTTTCATACTAAGTAACTCGAGCCTAGGAAGGCTTCTCACACATACGGGCATGGAAATCATTGGATTTTCATCTAAATTTAAATCCTTTAACATGGATAGGCAACCAAAGCTCGTGGGAAAGGATTCAATGGACAAGTCATTATTTGCAAGTGACAACTGTACCAAAGAACTCGGCAATGAAATTGATAATAGCTTAAGATCTCTTGGTATAATCAACGATTCTGGGGATTTTGTGTGTGTGCCAATGTTGTTGACCTTAGGCATTCCAGGTGAAACCATATCCCTAATCTGGATTCTGGATTTACTAGAGTTAAAACCAACTAGCAATAGTGTTTCAACCTTCTTTAACTTGTGTATGGTTCTTGGAAAATGATCAAGGTTGTTGCAGTAGCTCATATCAATGAAGACAAGTTCAACACAGTGCTCTATTGAATCACAAACCTCAAGCAAGCCAATGCAATTTGTAAGTATTAACATCTCAAGTGAAGGTATTTCTTCAAAGCTGCCCAAACTACGAAGCTGTTCACAGAAACTTAAATTAAGAATCTTCAGGGACCCAAGCAACCTTTTGTCTTTTGAGCACGATTCGATCAGCTGCTGAAATGGAGATAAGTTAGATTAGTGAATTTTATCAACTCAATTGGAAGAATGACAAATGGAGATAAGTTACCTTTTGCCTACTCTCATGTCGTTGTGGATTACTATAACAAATGCCAAGTGATTCAATATTGCTATATGACATGTCAAGAGCAACCAAATTCTCCATTGGTAAGTCTGAAGGTATAGACTTTAAAGGGAACCCATGCATACACAACCATCTTAATTTTTCTGGAAAATTCTCATAAGACCCACTAAATTGCACATAATTGAGCTGTAGTAGCATTAGATTTTCCATGTTACTCAATACATCTGTTTTCAGCTTAAAAGATGAATACGTAAGCATCCGCATGTCAAGGGCAAGGCCTAGAAGACTCCCCTTACCCTAAGAAAAAAAGAAGGGAAAAAAGTAAATATATATTAATACAAAAATACTTTGAACATGCGTACTAGTAACAACTATACAAGGTCTCTTACTTTGTTTTGTTTCAACACTTGGAATGACTCCTCATGACGCCATAATCGACTTCGCTTCCATGGCTTCTTCGGTGATTCTTGATGTACTAAGAATCTTCCCATCTTTTGAAGCAACTGATGCATCATGAATTCCTTATTATCTCCGATACTAAGAAGACATCTGTCCACGAGATTCGTGATCCCTGATGTTGTGTTTAAATGACATGCCTTTAATATTGTTTCACTAACATATCTATTTGTTCCAACAAAATAACAAGCAATATGCTTAAACAATTCTTTATCATTTTCTGATGACAAAGAGTCCAAGCTCATTCTCAAGACATTATCTATAGGAGAACCAGTTTCTTTCTCTAGCCGTTCTAGATAATCTTTCCAGTAAGCTACTTTTCGATTATATAGAGACTTTCCCAAAACTTCGAGAGCCAATGGATGTCCTTCACAATACTTCACAAACTTATTTGACACCTCTTTATAATCTGCCTTGGGATGGTTTGACTTGAATGCATGAAAACACAAAAGTTCTCGTGAGTCATTCTCTTGTAAGACTTTAAGTAAGTGCGTTGTATGATTGGGTGTAAGTTTCTTTTTGAATAGTGCACAACTCTCTGTCAACCATCCATCCTTTGTTGTAACAATAATTTTGCTCCCCCGATAAAACCTTTCGCTTCCAAGCATTGAATCCAACTGGGCGAGATTATCAATGTCATCAAGAACTAGAAACACCTTTTTACGGGACACAACATTCTCTATCTTTGAGGTGTATATAGAAACATCGTGAACTTCAATTGAACTTGTTCTTGAAATGTCATCATAGAGTTGTTTTTGTAGACCGAGCAATCCAATAAAACTTTCCTCACATCTCCTACTGATATTTCCAATATAGCTGCTTCTTTTAAATTTACGACAATGTAAACCATAGACATATTTGGCTAAAGACGTCTTCCCGATCCCACCCATACCCAAAATGGTGAGTACGTCTGTTGTATATGAGGATTCATCTAACCATGAAGTGACGAATTTAATGGAATGGTCCATCCCAATAAGTAGTGGTAGAGGATTGCGTAAGGGTACTTGTAATCTATAGTAGACATCCTTGACAATTTCTTCAATGAATTCCGTCTCTAGCCTGAAACTTGATTTTAATAAGTACAAAACAAAATCCACGAAAATAAGCTAGATTTGGAGATTCATTTTTTCCAAAGATCCAAATCAAAATTATATCACATTAAGGTATTATTTTTAATTAAGTTTATATATCAAATTAAACGATACTACCTACGTCCCAAATTGATAGTCCACTTTTGACTTTTGAAGTCTTTTTTTCTTCAATTTTGACCTTAAATAATTTTATTTTTATAGATAATATTTGATGCAAAATATATGAATGGATTGTATTTTAAATGTTTTTTAATTGTTATATGTTTTATCAAGTAATATATAACACAAATAAAAATATTTAAAGTCAAAGTTGAAGAAAAAAGACTTAAAAAATAAAAAATGAATTATCAATTTAGGAGAGAGGGAGTAATATATTTTCACTTCTAAGCATCTGCGGATGGTCATAACTCTTATGTATGATAAGACCAGACCCATAATTGATAAGATTTCACTAATCGGCCACCAAATTTCATTATGTTTGTACAATACAACTAAGCTTGAATGTCGACGTGATTTTGCATGAATCTAAACAAAACTTACGTCCTGGATAGATATTTATTGTTATAAAACACGATATAATTTGAAGGTACTATGATATAATTGTAGTAGATGTAGCAAACCGTTCATAAATTGGTTTCTACAAGAAAGCATATAAATTGATTTAAGAGATCACATAAAAATTAGGGTTATAATAAAATAATAGCGTACTAAATATGTCGATGTTTAGCAGGATGGTTATTCTACCTATATGAATTAGTTTCAGCGATCAGATAATTGAAAAATTAGATTCAATTGTATGCATTCAGTCATCCTATTTTTATGCATCAGAAATTATGACGATTCAATGATAAAGAAGAAACTTATTAAAATGTACAGAGATAAGATGATATTGACATTTCACGAGTTCATCAAACAAGCATGAAGGAGTATGGTAATATGGGTACAAAAGTGTTACCTCCCATTGACGTTATTGCCTTTTAAACCAGCAACTTCTGTAAGTGCTTTATTCCACCGGTCCATCTTTTCAGCCCATTTACTTCTTTTATTTGCATCGTTCTCCGCCTCAATCATCTTTCTATGTTCAGACATTGCATTTCCGAAGCTGTCCTGTTGCTTCCGAACATGGGTAGGCTCAACATGATAAAAGATAGGGAAAACAATATGATTGGATATCATACGTTGCTCAAGGATCAACACCAGCTCATCAAGGCACCAGGTTGAATTAGCATAATTCTTAGACAATACGATAATAGAAGCCCTAGATGCTTTTATAGCACTCTCCAATTCTGGTTTTAGATCTTCCCCAACTTTAATCGCTTCATTATCCAAGAATGTAGTGATATTGGCATCCGTGAGAGCTTCATGTAGGTAAGCGATGAAACTATCACGAGTGTCGATACCTCTGAAACTTAAAAATATGTCATATATGTGACCATGAATTGATGATAAAGATGAAGATCCTTCTGAAAGTTGGGAGAGAACAACCATTGTGAGTTATGGGAATGTATGGATGATTTGATACTAGATCAATATATAATCAAATTAAGAGTAATTGAATATGCACCAAGTAGTGGTTTCCTTCCAAGTAAACTACGAGATTTTATAAATGACAAGAAATTGTCAGATCAATGATTGAGATATACAAGTTATATCTGATGGGTGTGTAATGAATAATATTATATACAATATTCGATCATTTATTGAGAAAAACAATTAGTTATCTCTGATGGGAGAGCAATGAATATTATTGACAAAACATATAAAAAGTAGGCCAAAATTAATAGAACATTATTTCGTTGACAATAATTGTTCTATCAGTCTTGAGTTATTACAGTCATATATTGTTGGGTTCGGTCTAATAGGTGCTAAATTAGGAATATTTGAGACGAGACTCTTTTTAAGAGACATGAAAACGCTGGTTATTAACCATATATTTTGAAGTAAAAAAAAAATTAAAAAATTAAAAAAATTATACCATAATTTTCATCACTTTTATTTCAAAAAAAATTTAAAAAAAAAATAAAAGACAAATCTTTACAAATGATCCCATAGTTTCTCGAAAATCCGAAATATCAAGTTTGGTCTCATATGTGTTTTCAAATTGTATCGTGATTGGTCGTTCAAATAAAAACAGTTTTATACATTTTTTAATTTATTTTATGTTTTTATTCCTGGTTAATTGAGAATTTATATTATTAATATTATTAAATAATAAACAACTTCCACCATTATAACCGGCATGCACCACCGTTACTAGTACCATCCACCATTACCCCCACCATCCACCACCACTTTAACTGTCTATTGCCAAAAAACAACGTTACCATTCACCTTTTTCCCTCCCCTTCTTCCACCATTGCCGACGTTCTTGTTATTTCCTTCAGCATCAAATGAACAAACACGGAATAAAAGTGGTCGATCCTCTATTCTTTCCTTTCTTTATTAGATCAAACCTACAAATCCAAGACCTAGCAGAAACAATATTGTGATTGTCATTTCCTTTTAGAGTAAATTACACGATTCGTCCTTTGTCCAAATGTCACATTGCTCGTTTAGTCTCTATTTTCAATTATTAACTCGGACCGTCTTTTATACCGTTAAAAAATTGCATGTTTCGTCTCTTAAATCACTTACCAGACATAAAATGTCTATTTTATCCTTATTCTTTTATTTATTAATAATTTTTAGATTGTTATTATTATTAATTATAATTTTAAAGAAATCATTAAATAATTGGGCCTCACCTTCTTATATCCTTCTCCTTCTTCTTTTCTTTCATGAACCACCACCCCACCACCCACCTGCATCACCGTCGGTGCTCCACCACCACTACATCACCATCGGTGCTCCATCACCACCACATCATTGTTGTTCCTGTTGGGTTTTACTATACTACAACATCCTATGGCGCACATACAACCTTAAATACCTTGGATCTATGTTTTCTCTATTATACATGCAAATATGAAGTTTCAAAGATATTACCCTATACTAGCATACAAATATCATATACTTGGGTAATAAAATAGATAGAATACATACCTTTTTTGATGTAACTTGTCTTCATGAAGCTTGAGTGCCTAGTGCCCCAAGTGTGACACCTCAAATGGTTCACACAACACCATGAACACTTGGAATAACCTTGAGAATAAGGATACTTTGGTTCTCTCTAGTGAAATCGGCCTTGCCCTTTTGTGTACACATACTAGTTCCAATTTCACCAACCAAGGACATATTTATATAGTGTGGAGATTAGGGTTACACCCTAATACCCATGACCTTTCATTTCATATGATCCATGGGTTAAACACTCCATGGACTATCCATGAAAGCTTAGCCCAACCTAAATGAACTTGGCCCATCACACACATATATCTTAGAGTCCATATTTAATTAGTTCCTTTGATCACTTAATTAATTATAAATTAATTCTTGATCAATACTAATTAAATAATATGATTATATTAATATATTAGAACTTATAATATATTAATATAAATCACTAGTATCCTTTTTCCTCATCTTGTCTATCCAATTGTCCCGATGCCATGCAACCCAAATGGACCATGCCGGGTCGGGTCAAGTCTTACCAATTATAGTTATGGACTTAGACATTAATCCAACAGTCTCCCACTTGGATAAGTCTAAAACTATTATTGAGTATGACTTCAAACCCCGACTAGCAATCGTAGCTCTCAAAAGCTTATGTCGAACTCTGACCTTGCCGATGAACTCTGACCTTTGTCAATGACTTGTCCATTAGATAAGGGATCATATATTCCTCCATTCTAGATATCATATGGACTGAGACATGGATTATAAATCATTCTCTCTGTCCATTTGTTGTTTCCCGATTACCGATTCATGACGATTGACTGATTGAACAGATCAAATCAGTCCTGGCTTGGCCAAGCACTCACATATGTCATCATTAAATCATCGAGGGGCCCACAGATATCGCTTTTATCCCGAAGGTAAAAGGAATGGATAAACTTCGACTCATATGGCTTGTCTACTACTACTTGTTAATCATACACAAAGGCACGTTTTATAACATCGAGTTACCAATGCGGTTTCATGCAATCAATGTACAACCAACTCATAGTAACAACTCATATCTCTAGGTTTGAAGAATATAAGATATTATCGTCTCATGATCACTCGTGATAAAATCCATGAAGTGATTCAAATGAGCGCGGGTTGAATCCAATACTCAGAACTTATGAGCACTCATGAGTGTTGTAGCACAACTTTGTCCACCAACTTGGACCTCTACAATCCAACCCATGACAGCCTTGATTCATATCTACTTCCAACATATGACCGACTGTGGATGGTTTTGAATAACTTAGTCATTCCGGAAGAATAACCTAGTTATTATGGAAGTCAAAACATGCAAAGTGAAACACAAGAATAAATGAATCTAATATGGTATCAAAACCTATGAATATAAATAAAACACTTTCTATTTATCACCATACTGATTACTCATTATTCATTGTTTCGGTTTTATCAACTTTATACTTGAATTAAAACACTAGGTGTCCCATGCTCCAAGCATGTACACTATGTTTTTTAAACAATAGCTTTGTCATACACCAAGTATGCACTCTATGTTTGTCTATGATCCTTACTTTTGTGAAATAAACCAATTGACCAAACTTTCAATGATTCTAATTTCACACTCCCGAATCGAAATATGTTAGATTTTAAACTTAAATGCACTACCCTCTTGCAATAAATGTGTACAAAGTCACAAAGAGTTGTCAACAACCATTACAGGGTATTCCAATGAAGACCTACTCCATGGACACAAAGCCTTATGTTCAAAGTATGCATTGCTTTGAACATGCTTCTTGCACTAAGTTTTTTCTAATCTTACACAGATTGCTTCCATCTATGGAGACAACTCTATATTCCCATTTTGACTACCACTTCTGAACAAGAGTTGCCTCTTTTCAGACTATGTCAATATGGTCCTTCCAATATTAACAGTATACTTCCAACTGTCCTTGAGCAACCAATCTTTGGTAAACCTTAGATTGTCCTCGAAAATTGCTTAATCACTTTAGTCATATCCAATTCTAGACATTGTTCCCCTTAATGCCCCAAGGCATTTGGAAAATTCAGAAAGGATAAATATTATAGCACATGTAATCGATCTTGTACCCAAAGTAAATGAGACACGATTCATGATGTTTCACATAAAGACATGGTTCTAGACCAGTCTTTTGCCATAATAATTTTTTGTTTGCTATATTCTCAAAATTTGACTATGAAAAGGGATGTCGTAATCATAATCAAATTTTGAGAACGCAATATATAGAATTTTCTTAAGTTGAACCAATCCAACATGAAATTCATATATATATTCTTGACTAAAGGTGATTAAAATCTCAATATAAGCTCTTTAGAATGATTATAAACTCAATCTAAGCTTTTTAGAATTGAAATGAAGTATAATTTCCTCTCCCTTAATTATAGCAAAACAACTTTTTCAACCCCTCCAACCTCACAAATTGAAACTTTTGTTTTCTATAATTAACCTTGCTAACTTGCAATACTTATCATAATTATCATGCTCCCACTAACATGATGATTATTAGCATAACACTTATGCTCCCACTAGCTTTGACATGTATCCAGAAAACAGCTGGACCTCTAGAAGTCAATACTTTATTGACATTCTTACCAAAGTTCAGATTTCTGATACTAGATTGCTTTGATAAGACTTTATCAAAATCATACACCTTATCTTAGATAGATCACATGTGTGTCTAAACAATTTTAGAACTATGAAAAGGGATGCCGTAATTATAGTCTCAATTGTTTAGACCATTGCCATTTCTCATAAGTCCATGTTAGTGTGCCGGTTAACCACGCACGCTCCACTAACGACTTTGAAACTGCAAATATCACAATTGCTATCTACTTAAAATCTACTTAGTGAAAGAATTTCCTCACCATCACTTCCATGAATCGGAGAGAAACCTTATGACACTTAGATTTTATGGTGTATGTGTTCTTATCCATGTGAATTTGTCAAACCATAATCACAAGACTAGGTTAGTGACAAATCCTAACTCATATGGATTGAACTTGTGCAATCTTAACCTCTTGCCTCCTGGTAGCACAAGGGCCTGCCATTGCTTCCAAGTAGTTATACAAACAATTGAGAACATGTAGAACTCAAATATATATAGCCAACTTAACTGGAATGGGCACAGAAATGTCAACACGATAGGTTATAAACCTCTAGTTGTGTGCTAGTGATGAAATACATGTTTTATTCTTGATTACTTCTTGAAACCCTTTCAGGATCTTTTAGACTCCCACTGCCTCCTTGACCTATAAGACTTTCTTGCCAAATATTCAAGAGATAGTGTGGATTCTAATCAAGACAAACACTTAACACAATTGGCCTAAGTTGGTCTCTGTTTTATCCAAAACATCACAACTTACCAAATTCAAATGTACAAGAGTAGAAAACCTTTTACTCTTACATTTCACTAGTGTTAATAAACCTTCTTTAAGATGTGTCACTCAAGTTACATTTGTGGTGGGCTTGATCAGTGCACAAGAA